CCCATTGTGCAGCTCTGGGATCACCTACCTACGTATTATTCGAACGACCATTTATCCAAATTATCCCAGTTAGAACATAAGGGAACAACAATTACATTTACTCATGAACAAATATTTTTAATCACAAAATGTTAATATTAGTGCTATACGCGTACATTATCACTATACAAATACTATCCAATAAAATTACTATTGCTATACTTATGTTTTACAGGCATTTGGCAACTACGAGGAAGGATATAACGAAAACCAGCTAACGGGAGGTGCCTCTTTTTACAGAGAAAAAGGTTACGCAAACGGAACCGGTTCCTATGGGTACACAACCAGAAATGGCCTCATAAGAATTGTGACATACATTGCCGATAAAGATGGTAACAGAGCTGAAGTCTTGACCAACGAACCTGGAGTAGGGACTCAACAACCTTCTAATGTGAGGATCACAAAAGAAACGGATCTGCACTGACTCCCGGCTCATCTGGTTCGAATAATGAAGTTGCATATATGGTGGCAGCGAGTGATGTAGTAAGAAATTATGTTGTTTTGCCTAACAGTCGCAGATTCTCAACTCGTTGAATATATTTGAATAGAGCTGTTAAATATTTGAAAAAAAATGACAATAATAAAGAACTTGAATAAAATCCTATTCAGGCGAATATTCTCTCTTTTCTTTTTTTATGGGGGAAGGGGGACATTTTTTTCTACGAGTTCACATTCTGCCATGTAATGTAGAAAAAAAATTGTAAGTGAGAAAAATTTCGAGATTGAGATTTTTATAATATAGGTATTTTTGTATGATACGCTATATATTGGGGGAAAAAATCTTTTTTTCCAAAAATAATTTTTTTATGATTTTGAATTCTCTGAAAATTCTATTTTGGCCTTTATAGTGCTGGAAATGGAGAGAAAATGGTAGTCAAGTCACTTTTCCTCTCGGAGCACTTACATTGTTTTTTCACTTGCACTGGGACACTATAATTGTTTAATAAAAATAAGCAATTTTCAATTTAAGATGCTTGATTAAATAATGGTTAAATGAAAAACAACTTGAATAAAACACAAATAAAGGTACAGAAATGGACATACTATAGGTTCTGTAACTTGAAAAAGAACTTTTCCCGATGTCTAAACACCAAATGACAGTGAAAAAGCTACTGTCATTTGGTATTTGGACACTGAGGGAAGTTATTGACTATGTCTATAGATCCAAAACTACTTACCTTTAATAGTGCTTTATTCACATTGTTTAAGCTTACATATATATATATATATATATATATTACTTATNAGTATTTTAATTTATTTTTCAAAATTTCTTTAAAAAAAAGAAATAAAAGCAACTAATTGAGAATTAATTGCAACTAATTACTAATAGAGAGAAGTAGCTAAGTATTATACTATAAATTTTTTTGAATATTAGTTTTATGCCAAATGGTGCCTTTTTTGCAAACTTTTTTTTCCGTGTTGATAAAAATCGCCATAGTATACACATCAGGGGATTCCTAATTTGTATTTAAGTAAAGAAGGAACTAAAAAAGCTATCGAAATCTGTGGAATCACTTAGGAGGATAATATAAAAATATATAAACAGGTTTGATTGCCTACGGAACTTCGGAAATAGTTTTTATAATCATCGTCACTTTCTTTTTTGTTTCCTGCGATAATCAAAATTTGGACATAGATAACATTTTTTTTCTTTCTTGCTTAAATGTTTTTAATCAATTCCTAATGTGTACTTTATACAATAAAACCTCTCGACCACTTTCCCTTCCACAGTAAAATAGTCGTTGATGGAGGTTCTTAAAAGTTACCTCCAATATTGTTATCGAAAGTACCCCTAAACAATTGTAATTTTAGTCAGTGTCATTTTCTTTGTACGAAAATGCCTCTTCTGTTGGCGTCTTGAAAAGCCGGATCTATAAATAAAATTTAGCGTCTATAAAAATGATCCTAACTGATATAGTTATGTGTAAAAACAAATTTAACAATAATGTATGATAAATCTATTTTAAATAAGTAACCAATTGTGTTTTTTTCTTCAAGTTTGCATTTAATTTTATATCATGAAAATTAGCTTTAAAAGATGTGAAGAGTTTTTTTTTTGCTTGAGATGCTAGTTTTTTTCTAAAGTAACTTTTTTTTCTTCTAATTTGAGATTCAACTCTAAAAGTGAATCATTGATAAGCATCGTCTTTAGTTCTCTCTGTCTGCAACATGAGGTTGTATCGTCAAATCTAAATAAGAGCCCCACACAAATATTTTGAATAAATTGTAATAGACTTATTTGTTTTCTCAAATATTTTTTGGTGCTTCCTTATTTGATCATCTCGGTATTTTGTGCAAATGTTTGTCCGGTCTCTGGGAGTGGTTTTAATGGTCTTACCTAAAGGTTTTTTCTTCAACGCAAAGCCTATGGAAAAAATTCCGTTCCTCCCTAAAGTGGTCGTAAATAGAGGTTGTCTTTCTTGGAGACTTCCGTTTACTTTCTTTTTTTTTTTACAAAGATTCTAAAGATACGTTCTAAAGATGGTCACAACAGAAACAACATTTTTACATTATTTTACATGTCTCATATTTTTACACTTAATTTCCCATAATCCCCACCGTTGGTGCGGATATTTAGAATCTTTGTCAAAATAGAAATGAGAAAACTATAGTCAATAAAAATCAAAAAAAACATTCGAGAGATCAAAAAAATAATAATTAAATCAAAGCCTGATGAATAATTAAAAAGAAAGATACGATGAAAAAACACTAAAATCTGTTCGATTTACACACGTAGTTGAGAATAGGTGAAAGCCGATAATCAAAATCAATTGTAATTTTTATCAGGCCCTTGGTAAACACTTAGTCATTGAGCTCTAATTTCGCCAAAAAAATCAAGTTTTGGGTGAAAATTAGACTAATTTTTTGCAAAGTTGTGGTTTCACATCTTCTTAGCGTTACGTGTTAATAATATTTTTTGCTAGAGTCATTCGGTAAAAACGTCGTAATTTTGTTTGAAATGCCAAAAAAATATCACTAGCGGGACTTCATTGGTTATTATCCTTTCAACAAGCGTATCGAATCGTATAAAGTACCGGGTTCGATTTCCATCTCCACAATATTTGTGACATACTGTCATTTTTCCATCGCAACTTTGATTCTCAACAGAGGTTATGGCTCCCCTGATTCGGTAGCATGATGACCTGCTCACGAAGTCGAACATTTTACGGTTGAAGAGTTTAACGAGAAGCGACACCATGCAAACCCACTCGATCCCTACCCAGGCAGATCAAAGTGGTCACCCACCCACTTATTGACCGCAACCAGTTCGGTGTTCTACTGGGAATCACGTCTTTGCAATCAGTCCACTGCGGGACTTGCGGGGAAGAGCGGATCTCTATTTCAGAGTTAGTCCTTGATATGAAAGTCTTGCAGAATTTGTGGTTGAATGTTATTCGTTTTTGCAGCTCTTCGGAAAAATCGAACCGTATAATCTTCTATGCATCAATCACACACGTTTATAAACGTACGGTAAAAATAAACTTTACAAATCATAATTAAAAATTTGATATTTTTTTTAAAAATTCTTACACACATACATAAGCCGGCTTGTACGTTCATTAGAAGGAACGGTTATTTGATATAAAAACTTTGAATGTTGATCCCTTTGTTGTCGAAGTGTTTCAGTGATTTCGGGGAACGAATCTGTGTCTATATCACTGTGCTGTTTCTTTGCTTCTTTGCTTCTCTGCTTGATTCCCTTGCAAAACTTCATCACGCTGAACGGTACTGGAATATCGAATTGATTTGATTAATTTATTCACATGCAGATTTGCATACTCAATAAAATGAAAGGTAATAAATCCTTGTCAAATCGAAGATATAATTGCTCGAATTCGGTAAAGGTAGAATCACGGTTAGAACGGAATTCAAATCCTGCTACCTCCACTCTTCAGAGCATTCCTCAGAAGGACAATCCAACTTGACTTAAACGATTTTATAACCGTCGTTGAACAGCCGGCCTGATTTTTTGGGTTTACAACTACTAATGTACAACTCCGTAGCCTTGTGATTTTGAGCCCATCCAGAAGGCAAGGAAACTCCTGGATCATTACCCCTAGAGGTATAATTTGTTATTGGAACATGGAGGACTTTGTGACTCGACAGATTTGATGTGCATCAGTCTCCATTTATGACACTGGGAGCGTTCGGCAGGCCTGGATCAAACCCACGACCTCTTGAACATGAGCCCAGTGCCTTACCAACCAGGCAATCCCGGCCTGACTAAAACGATTAGAGGAAAGACATAGACGGACTTAATGGGAAGGTAACGTGAAACTGATGTATGGTGGTAAGCTGGGTGTCTAATCTCTCGGACGGCTGAAGAGAAGGTTTCTAGTTCATGTCTGAAATCAGTGAAAGACCTCAGTGTTTAAACGGAATAGAAACAACACTTACTGTGGAATATACATAATACTAACTTGAAGTCGAAATCACCACCTTCTTTGCACTATAATCATTTAGTGAAAGGTCAACCGAGGAAAAACAACAACAGTCGTCCCGCAGTGGACTGATCGTTAGGACACGGTTCCCAGAAGATCACCGAAGTCACGCATCACTGGCTGCAGTCAGTGTGCGGGTGGGTGATCACTTGGATCAATCTGCGTAGAGACCAAGGGTGTGCGGTATCGGTCCTATTTAAACTGTTCTACCGTAAAGTGCTCGACTTCGCGTACAGGTCCTCGGACTACCGAAGCAGGGGTGCCATCCCCTCCACAGATGATCAAAATTGTGAGGTCATGTCTTCGGATCATCCTCGGGAATGTTTTCCAGGCCCTTGCCGATAGCCCATTGTGCAGCTCTAGTGCGACGTAAATGAATTAAAACAACAACAACCAAGCTTAAAAAAGCTTATCCCCCAAAAAGCGAGTACTACACACCCTCTTCATCAACAACTCAACTCAAATTTGCTGGAAAATAATCGTTATCGATATTAAGGGATATATAATACGAAGCACGGCCTCCGCTGCTTGTGTGTTATATGTAAGAGGTAGACATAATGTAGTTAGTCTCATTTTAAATACCGAGATGAATACCGTGCATAGTTCTTTGTTTGGTGTTATACTTTGCTCCACAGAAGTTCTGTTCTAAAGGTCTTCTAGTAATAAATCTATTTCCTGTGATTACGAGATTTCTGAAGTTTGTTTATGGATCACTTTTTCTTGGAAGAACTATACAGTAAGTTTTTATATTTTTTTAACTTTAGCATGTCTTTAAAAATTTCATAGTTTGGTGCTATGCTAGTAATTGTCAATGATTTGGAATTGTATTTAAGAATAACTAATATATCTAGTATAATAACGTACGTTCTTGGATTGTTTATAAATATTCTTTATTTTCTGATAAGATATTGGCTTGCTTTAGGTATTGGTTTTCAAATTGATTATTAGTTTAGATTAAAATTACTTGTTAAACGGTTAATCAAATCCCGTTTTATATAGTGTGTAAACCTTCCTTATCACGTAGCTTAATTTCCTTTATGTAAAACAAACTATAGTTTATGAAACAATAAATGAAAACCTTTAAGTGCTTTCTGTTTTTAAGCCTATAACCTGAGCATTTGCAGCAATGTATTAATACCAGAAATTGTACATAGTTTTGAAACTTGGTCCTTTTTTTCCCTCACTAATATCAAATTAACTTACTGTTTAAAACTTAAAACGTAATTCCTGCTCAATATTAAGAGGTATATTCATAAATTTGTATACGTTTGTCTATTTTATGCAATGGTATTAATACGCTGTGTTAAACTGAGTTACACAATCTTTCCTTTTATCTTCAAAATAGTTTTAATCCTAATACTTTGAAATTAAGTTTAATAACTATTAGCGTATGGCGGATTTTTTTTCACTAATTTAAGAAGGGAAAACATGTTTGGTTAAACAAAAGCAAAATGTCTTCTATATTGAAGGCTTCTTGTGATCAAACTACTTTTATCTGTCACACTAATTCATTTTCATTTGGTTTCACAACCCTACACATCTCGAGGATCGTTCCTCTCCTTTACTGTTCTTTCGTTAAAATATTTGTACAAAATTCAATTTTGTTGCGTAGTGATATAGTTAGTTTGCAGTTGCGCAAATGTTATATCTTCTAACAGGTGAGTGAAATTCAAAGAGATTTTAATCTTTTTCTTTGAATAAATCTATAAATAATAAAATATTATAGACTTTCTACATTTAATTGTGATTACTTTGTCTGCAAACTTTGCTCCCAATTCCATCTGTAATTCCTGAGATAAATAATGGAGACTAACAAATTAGTCAATAGAAATTCTAACTGTAGCAATTTTCTTCAAAAAGTTAAAATTAGACGAGAAAAATGATGTGTAATTTTCAGATTATAAATTTTCTACGGTATTTTGATATATCTACTAGGACATGAAATCGTTAAATCTTCTGCTAATTTTAACCGATTATGTTTAATTTCGTACTAAAACACTGTTATATATAAATTGCTGGTTGTATACATTAAATATTTTGCATTACATTGTTGGTTTATTTTAATTTTATGTCTGATATATTCATGATTTTAAAACTGTGTAAAGAAATGCGTTGTAACTTTCTAAATAGATTGCGGAGGTTACTGAGTACTTTAGAATTTCCTTCGTTAGTCAACCATGGCTAGCTACGACATTTATCTAATTGTGTTGGGTCGTTCGGTTATTTTTCTGTATTGGTCATTTTTCATGACTTGAGTACAGATTTTAAAAATTCGAAAATAGTGGAAATGTCATACAAACTGGAAAACAGATTTGTCAGAAAACTGTAAAACTAAAATATTAAGTCTTTAATTTCTCCAATTCTTTTCGAAATTACCGTATAAATAACACAACTCTAACATTGTCGTAGAATTAGTCTAATATTATCGATATATATAAATCATAAGTATATAACGTTCATCAGCCAACTTAACCCTATCTAAGGTCAACAAGGTGGTATACTTACCACAAATTTTTAAGACTCGGGTGAACATTTAGCCACTTTTAATTTAGGTTTCCATTTGTTAATAACTTCAGTTTTCTTGAAGTGCGTTTGAATAAAATTGGTAAACATTTGTCACTTTAAAAAAAACTTATTAAAATATTAAACGCATAAATCCTTTTGAAGATTGTAGCATTGATAAAATTTATTTTATATATAAAGAAAAGTCAATAAGTTCCTAATAGGTCTCGTGCTAAATATACTAAATATACCACCAAAAAATAGCATTTTTATAAACTAAATGAGTTTTTTTATGTCAATTGCTGTTCTTAACAATTTCAATTGCAAAAATACTTTAGTTTACCTTTACTAGAAATAAATTTCCCATTAAAGGGTTAAAGTGCATTACTTAAAAATATAAAAAGGTACGCCACTGTGTACGCAGCCTAATTTATTTTTCTTATTTGTTGCAGGATCCAAGAAGTTTCCCTATAATCAATGTTTGAGACTCTACTACATAAAGTTTGAATATGCTAGATTTGAAAATCTATTACTTGCAGAAGAATGCTGCTTATCATTATCAGATATAAACTGGTAAGCAAGTTAAGATTTATTTCGATCTACTCAAGAAATTTGTTTAATATATAATTTTATATAATTACTCTTGTGTAGCATTTTCATCATAAATTTGAATTATAAAACATTTTAAACATCGAATTATTTTATAAAATCAACATATTGAACGTATCACGCTGGTAATGGAAAATGGTAATTTCGACGAAAATTATTTATTATTCACATTAACTTTAATTTATTAGCTTTCCAAAACCTTTTAAATTTTTGATCTCCGGTATTTAGAAATGATATAGTAATTTTTTCATGCTGATAGATTAACCGCTAACCCTTACCAAGGTTTTGAGAAAAAAATCAACATATTTTTTATTTCATTAATAAATTCAAAGAAACGAAACATAATACACAACTTCTAAGTTTAAATTTTGATTTTTTTTGTGTAAGAAATACATAATTCACCATCAGTTTACTATTCCAAATCATCTCGGGCAAATGAAGAAAGTTAATATTAGTCTTCGTATATGTTCACATCTTCATAATCTGGTAACTCTTCTACATTACTTTCACTTTAGCTCACAGATCCCATTTTAACTCATTTTCTTTTAAATAGTAATACATAGTAATAAATGTATTACCCGCTATTGCAAGATTTCTGAAGTTTGTTTCTTAGTGACTTTTTCTTTCGCGAACTCAAAAGTTAGTCTTTTTAATTCTAGCTTGTACACATTTTTAAACTTTCAAGATTGATAGTACGCTAGTATTTTTCAATGATTTGGGATTACTTTGAAGAATAATTAGTATACCTAGTTTATTAACGTACTCGCTTGGATATTTTTAAAAATATTTTTCTTTGAATTTTCTGACAAGATATTAGCCTGCTTAAAGTGTTAGTTTTCAAATTGATTATTAGTTTACAGTGTTACGCTTAATTAAAACCAGTTTTATATTGTTGTGCAAAACTGACTAACCGTATTGCTTGTTTTCCTTTATGGAAAACAAACTATAGTTTACGAAACGGCTATTTTAAAATTTAAATTATTGCTATATTTTTAACAGCCTGTAACTTGAGTATTAGTAACAGTTTATGAATGATTCCAGACATTGTACGTACTTAAAACAATGTACTTATTTTTTAAACTTTATCCTTTTTCCCTCCTAGAATTTAATTAACTTACTGTTTGAAACTTTAAATGTAATTTCCACTCATTGTTAAAAAATATTTATACCTTTTATACGTTTGTATATTTTACGCAAGGGTACGCACTAAGTTAAACTGAGTTGCATACTCTTTCCTTTTATATTCCAAATAGTTTTAATCCCAATATTTTGAAATATTAAATATTAATATTTTAGTAACGATTAGCGTATACCAAATTTTTTAACTAATTTAAGTAGCTAAAACTTGTTTGGTTAAACAAAAGTAAAATGTCTTCTATATTGAAGGCTTCTATGCATTTAATTTTGTTATGCAGTGATAGTTCGTTAGCATTTGCGCAAATGTTTTCTAGCTTGTTTGATTAAATTCAAAGAAATTTTATACTTTTAATTCAATAAATCGTTAAATAAAAGTTTGCGGACAAAATAATTGCAATTAAATTTAGAAATTTTACAAAGTTTGGAGCAAAGTCCATCTGTATAACTCCTGGTATAAATGGCTACTAACGTAATGGTTAATAGAAATTGCTAACTGAAGCAATTTAAAATTAGAATAGAAAGATGATAGATGTCAGTGCTGTATAATTTTCCGATTATAAATCTCTCTATTGGGAGATTCCACTGCATCCTGATAAATCTACAAGGGCATGAAAATCAGTAAATAGCATAATTTTAGCTAAATATATTAAATAATTTCGTACTAAAGCACCATCAGATTGTTATAAATTGCTAGTTGTATACATTAAAGATCTTGCGTACATTGTTGGCTTATTTTAATTTTATGAGCAATCTATTCTTGATTTTGAAACTGTGTAAAGAAATGCGTTGTAACTTTCTAAGAATAGGTTTATGTTACTGCGTATTTCCTTCGTAGGTCAACCATAGCTAGATCTAAAATTACGTTGGGTCGTTCGGTACTTTTCTGTAACTAGTAATTTTTTCACGACTTAAAGTAAACAGATTTTAAAAATTATTTGAAAATAGTTGAAATGTCATTCAGACTAGAGAATAAATTTGTCAGAAAACTGTAAAATGAGCGAAAAAAGTCTATTTTTTTATTTTTTTATTTCGCCAATTCTTCTCGGAATTAGAGATTTTAACTTAACCACATAAATATGTAACACCGAACTCTAGTATTGTCGTTGAATTAGTCTAATATTATCGATATATTAGTCATAAGTATACAACGTTCATCAGCCAACTTCCATCACCCTTTCTAAGGCCAACGTCCATCACCCTTTCTAAGGCCAAGGTGGTGTACTTACCACCCATTTTAAAGACTAGGGTGAACTTTTTTTACCATTTTTAATTTAGGTTTCAATTTGTGAATAACTTCAGATTTCTTGAAGTGCGTTTGAATAAAATAGGCAACCATTTGTTAGTTTAAGAACTTATAAAATGCATAATTTTTGGAAGATTGCAGCATTGATGAAATTCATTTTATAAATAAAGAGAAATAAGTTCGGAATAGGTCTTGCTTACCACAAAAAATGGCATTTTTATTAACTGAATGAGTTTTTTTTTCTTATAACAAATTCAATTCCAAAAATACTTTAATTTTCCTAGAAACAAAGCCCATTAAAGGGTTAAATTACATTATGTAAAATATAAATAAAAGATACACCACAGTATAATTTTTATTTGTTACAGGATCCAAGAAGCTACTTTAAAACTGTTATTTGACTCTACTACAGAAAGTTTGCTTATGCTGGATTGAAAAATATATTCCTTGCAGAAGAATGCTAGTTATCATTATCAGATATGCATGGGTAAGTAAGTTAAGATTTATTTTGATCTACTCAAGTAGTTTGTTTACTATAAATTTTAATGTATTTACTCTGTAGCATTTTTACCACGGATTGTATTATAAAACATTTGACTCATAAAATAAACATTTTGAAGGTATCAAACTAGGTGAAAATGGGTAATTTCGGCAAAATTTTTTTATTCGCACTTTAACTTTAATTCATTAGCTTCCTAAAGCCTTGTAAAAATTTTTAACTCCGATATTTAGAAATGATATAGCAATTTTTTCATGCTGACTGACTAAAACGGATTTAGAAACTCATATTTTTATGCTTTATTTGAGTAAATTAAAAGGTTACATTTTTAATATGAAGTATTATATATTAATTTATATGAAGACAACATTCTCTAATTCATTTTTGTTCTTAGAATTTTCTTGTAATTTAAAGTAATTTTGCAAATCGCTGATTTTGATTCTTTACTCGACACGTTTTTAAAGTAAACTTTTGAATTTTGCTTTTAGATTTTGTGTAATTTTAGCGAGGAACTAAAAGCTAGGATACAAGTGGTATATTTGTTTTTTTTATCAAGCGTTATGAATATTAAATTTTCTTTAAAAATTCAATATTAATATATTTATTTCTATTTGTCGTTTTGAAATTTACGATTCAAAACTCTAACATTAATTTAGAGACTTTGAAATTGATGCGTTACAATTTAATGTAGAACTGTTAGCATAGCATGACAAAGTAGTTTATGAACTAGCTTCTTTTTAAAAAAATATTTCGTGCGCTCTAACTTTAAATTTAATTTTAAGACACTGTTTAATAAATTTAGCCTTATAAAATTGTGCAAATCCTTCCACGGTTAGCCCGACGGCAAGGAGCTTTTAGCCATGATCCTTTTACCGCTTCGTCAGTATTGAGCCCTACGTTATATTTTTCACATCTGAAATTAATTTTCACCTTCAGTTTCTTGGTGAGGGGTATTTCTAACTTCTACTGAAAATTGGCTTAGAATGATCAGGAGACTGATGAAATTTAGTTATTCGCCACAAAGCTCTAAAATTAAAACCGTCACAAAAGTTTTATCAAATATTAGATTTCAGTAATCCCCGCTCATTCAAAAGTAAAAATATCGCTTAATTTCATGGTTATTTAAAGTTTTTGGTAATTGAAATTTTGACTGCACCATTGTTAGTCTCGGGGATTTTCATTCGCATTTAGTTTGCATTTGCTTATATAGATTTCTGTTTTACTCCAGCGATTTGAAAAGTACGCACATAGTTCAGTGGTCCTGCGAGTACGAATTACATGTTCGGACTAATATGACCACCGTAATAAGACGTAAGAACATTTTTAATGAAATAATGCAGACTGGGGTTTGTGTTTCAAGGGTCTATCTACAAATGGGGCTAACAGAGACCTGTGCATAATGTTAATGGTCACTTTCCCTCGAGGCACGGATATCAGACACTGTCTCTTTGTCTAAAAGACCTATGTTAATTTTACCATAACTAAGGACAGTTTATTTTTTTACACTAGGCTTTGTATTGAGTACTTCACCGTCATATCGTATCCCTGGGAACATCTTCCGAGATCTCCATTTCTGACTAGATGTCCATGTTTGCCATAATCTTCGTTACTGACCTACTTGCCACGAGGGCCGTAGTCTGCCAAGATCTCCGTTACTGACCTAGTTGCCACGAGGGCCGTAGTCTGCCAAGATCTCCGTTACTGACCTAGTTGCCACGAGGGCCGTAGTCTGCCAAGATCTCCGTTACTGACCTAGTTGCCACGAGGGCCGTAGTCTGCCAAGATCTCCGTTACTGACCTAGTTGCCACGAGGGCCGTAGTCTGCCAAGATCTCCGTTACTGACCTAGTTGCCACGAGGGCCGTAGTCTGCCAAGATCTCCGTTACTGACCTAGTTGCCACGAGGGCCGTAGTCTGCCAAGATCTCCGTTACTGACCTAGTTGCCACGAGGGCCGTAGTCTGCCAAGATCTCCGTTACTGACCTAGTTGCCACGAGGGCCGTAGTCTGCCAAGATCTCCGTTACTGACCTAGTTGCCACGAGGGCCGTAGTCTGCCAAGATCTCCGTTACTGACCTAGTTGCCACGAGGGCCGTAGTCTGCCAAGATCTCCGTTACTGACCTAGTTGCCACGAGGGCCGTAGTCTGCCAAGATCTCCGTTACTGACCTAGTTGCCACGAGGGCCGTAGTCTGCCAAGATCTCCGTTACTGACCTAGTTGCCACGAGGGCCGTAGTCTGCCAAGATCTCCGTTACTGACCTAGTTGCCACGAGGGCCGTAGTCTGCCAAGATCTCCGTTACTGACCTAGTTGCCACGAGGGCCGTAGTCTGCCAAGATCTCCGTTACTGACCTAGTTGCCACGAGGGCCGTAGTCTGCCAAGATCTCCGTTACTGACCTAGTTGCCACGAGGGCCGTAGTCTGCCAAGATCTCCGTTACTGACCTAGTTGCCACGAGGGCCGTAGTCTGCCAAGATCTCCGTTACTGACCTAGTTGCCACGAGGGCCGTAGTCTGCCAAGATCTCCGTTACTGACCTAGTTGCCACGAGGGCCGTAATCTGCCAAGATCTCCATTACTGACCTAGTTGCCACGAGGACCGTAATCTGCCAAGAACTCCATTACTGACCTAGTTGCCACGAGGGCCGTAATCTGCCAAGAACTCAATTATTGACTAGTTGCCACGAGGATCGTTTCCTACCAAGATGGCCTACTTTAGTTGCCTTGTCGTCACGACATAACAGAAGCGCTCACTGTACGTTACTTCAACTAAACAAGAGGTTTATTTTATATTCTCCTTGAATGATATGAAAATTCTACTCTTATTTTATGGATATTTAAATTTCTCCTAAGAATTGAGCTATATATTTTTTAATTAAATCTAAATCCAGACTCATAAGTTATATGCAATTTTAGGTACCTTTTTCTAAAATTTATTTCAAAGCTTTTTTAAACATACAGAAAATTTAAATCTTAATATTCTTTTTATTTATCATACAGAAATTTTTATTCATTAATTTTATTCATATTTACCCATTAAATATCTAAAATTAGTTGCAGTTAGTCTTAGTGTTTGCAAATCGAGTGCACCTTCTCGAATATCTCGGCTGTGTATTATATATACGTACTGTTAATAGTCTTAAAATTTTTAAGGCAAGCTTATTGTTAGCTATTACTCGTTATCAGCTATGGCTTAATATTTAAGAAAAATTAACTTTCAACGCTAAAGAACTAATTTCAATTTTTTGGTACTTTTGCGTTAAACTGTAAAAGAAGCTAAAATCTAAAGCTTTAATATTGAAAGGAATTTTTTGAGTGCCAGTTAAAGTTGCGTTTCAAAGCATTAAATTCAGGGAATTGAAAATTAAAGTACTTTCGTCAAATTCTCAGACTGAGCATATTTAGATAAATAGAACATTAGATCAAATTTTTTGGTATTACTAATTCTTAAATTATCCCTTCTCCACTAAATACGTTATTAGATACGTGTTTCAGATTAAAGAATCGGTTGAAGTAAATGTGCTAGTTTCAAAATCCACGTTTAAAATACACTTAATCAATTTGAAAATTTAAAGCATAACTTGAGTAAAAAATGATTTAATGAAACGTTTAATTGATAAAATTCACAACTCCAAATTTATGAAAATATACTAAAGTAACTCTCAAATTTGTTTTAATTTTAACAAATCAATGTGAGCAGGGGAAAATCGGTATAATTAAACTCTCATTTTAAATTTCAGAACTCTTATGCAGTAACGTGATGTTTGGATACCAAAAAACAATATGCATTATCGCACATTTTGTTACCTAAATAAAGCAAACTATCAAATTGATAGCATTGAATAAGTCCTACCTCATTAGTAATGTATTATTAAGTACCAGTTTTAGTATTTAAGGTAACGTGTATACTGTTCCAAGTAACATTTTTATATGATAATTTCAGAATCTTCCTGTGTAATCATCGCTTATATTATTTAAAACCCTTAAGGCTTAAGACTCGCTGTCACATCAAAACTCCACATTTTTCAAAATTTCTTTTCGCCCTAATTTTTTTCCTCCAATGACAGGCACTGAATTTGAGTCTTTGCCTATACTATGCCAGAATTGTTGCTCATTTCGCGTTACCCAGTGGGCACCTGTGAACCAAAGTCATGGAGGCGAGCAACATTGCCCACGCCACACTGCCACAAACCCGTTTATAGGGTGGGCCACATTCACACATCATACACACACACAACAGAGGACAGCACAAAGAGAGAGAGAAAGAGAAACATCCATGCCCAGAGCGGGATTCGAACCCGCAGCCTATGGCTTCGCAGTCAGGCACGCTAACCGCCTGGCCGGCTCGCCCTAATCATAGTGTACCTCAATTGAAAACGCATAATGTTGAATGTTTGTCGTGTTAATACTAGTCTTGTTTTTAATCTGCGTATTTATAAGTGTGTTAGGATAAATTACACTAAACAAACGTATCTAAATTTATAATTTTTCAAGCATTTCTGTAGTATCTACAGGCAATAACAACTCTACGTATTCTATTAATTAAAAACATTAATGAGAACTATATCAAATTTAAGAACGAAATGATTAAGAAAAATTTAAACGTAACTGTTTAGTAATTAAGTTATAAAATCTGTAGTTTAAAATAATTACTCATTCTCTCCTACAATGAATTAGATAGGTAACAAATTTGATAGTAACAAATATTTCAACTTGTCAGGTGATTTCTTACGTTAAACGGAAATTATATTTCTGATAAAATATATTTTTAGAAATGGGCTTCTACAAAACTAGTCTTGTTTTTTAATCTTATTTCTCTGCCGAGTCTATTTGCATAACGAAAATCTTTAAATGGATATGCCTGAATTTGCTTCATCTCAACTCTAAATACTTATAGCATTTTAATGATACATTTTGAGCTCCCAAAAGTATCTGTTCAACTAAAAACTTCAACACTGAACAATATTTATTACAGATGATTCAGTTTAATTGTGAAACGGGCTATGAGTATAGCAAGTGATAAAAGAATATATTAAAAAGTAAATATAAATTTAGAAAATTTTTGAATTTTCCCTTTTTTTAATGCAAATATGCCGGGATGAGCAAATTTAAAGCAGTTCATGCTTAAGGAATTTCGTTATGCATTCATATTTTTGTATACATTAATTCTGGCTAATTACTAACATACGACTAACTATAACATATATTTTAATCACAAACTAACATTGATTCATTGACTCGGCGGTTGAATAAGTTTAAACAATGGGGCACAATGACGCGATATAAGATATTAAAATTTTTATGAATTAAGAAGCACTAAAATTTTTTGTTATTAAGGTTATGAAATTAAGCAGTTTCGAATAATCTTCAGCTATAAAATATAAAATAGTAAAATTCACGCGTAGAGAACGTCTAGAAATATTTTGGAAACAAACTAATTTTATTAAAATTCAGCTTTGTTCGAATTTTTAAATTTCTAATCCTGATGAAATATTGCAAAACCGGTAAATTAAAGATGTAGGCAGCGGAGTTTTAAAAACGTGGATCTGTTATAATAAGTATTTACAAAATCAAATTTAAATTTGTATTTTTAAACTAAAACAAATTTTTAACTCGGTAGACATTTAAAAAAAAAACTAGCGACTTCTACTATGACTGGAGAGCTTATGGTACTTATACCAAAGGAAACTAAAATTAATAAAATAAAAAAACATAAAAATTAAACTTGACAGCTTTAATTTTGAAAATCATTTCTATTAGACACACCCTAAACAATAGCCTGAAACTATCTCGTTTCTTACCTCAAACTTCTGATTTATGTTTTCTTTTCGCGGTATTTCTGGGAAATTGTAACTAAAGGGTAACGTTTAAAATTTATCGCAAATTTTATAATATTCCATATATCAATCTTTTTTCATCCAATGTTACATTAGTCAATACATACGCAAGTGAATTGTTAAATGGTCACTTATGCGCAATTAAGGGAAGAAACTTTTTTTCGAATGGCAGGCACTGAACTTTATTCGTTTCGCCTTAGAAGATGCCAGAGTTGTTACTCATTTCGCGTTACCCAGTGGACACCTGTGAGCCAAAGTCACGGAGGGGAGTAACATTGCCCACGCCACACTGCCACAAACCCGTTCATAGGGTGGGCCACATTCACTCATCACACACAACAGAGGACAACACAAGAGAAACATCCATTCCCAGAGCGGGATTCAAACCCGCGGCCATTGGCTTCGAATTCAGCGAAGTCAGGCGCGCTAACCGCTGCTCGGCCGGCTGAGGCTTGTAAATATACTTGTCAACTTGTCAACTAATCAAATAAACTTGTTAAAAGATACATAGCTGAAATTTTTCTCAGATTTAACTCTTATGCAGAATTTTATCACAAGCGATTAAATTCGGATGGGGGATGCACGGTTCCAAATGTTTAATTCCTCAACCTGATGGGCCTAGTTAAGTGATATTTTAGGTCGACGAAGTAACTTAAACCTTAATTACCAATTTAAATAGTTTGCAGAATAATTATCAATTTAAATAGTTTGCAATAGTTTGTATAAGTAGTCTCTCTTGTAATATTAAACTAGTTTCATAATAGATTGACTAAGTATGATTTATAAGTAAGCTAGGTCCTGCATCTGGAGCCGTCTATCCACAGTATGAATCTGTTCTAACCAGGTTTTCAACATTCTGGAAAGTAGTCGGCACATTTTAAAACTTTTATAGCCATTAAAGGATAATGAATTCTAACTGTTAGGCATAACGCAATGAGGAACTTCGTCTAATCTAAAACGAAAAAAGTGGGTACTCGACAAATTAGTTTTCGATGCACGCATGGTAGAGATAACTAAAAAAGGTTCCTTACAAAATTAATCATTTCAGAATGCAGAATATCCCATAGTCTGATAAAAGAATATACTTTAATTTCGAAAATAAATCATAACGTCCTTAAAGGTCCAAATTATAAAATTTACTTTATAAATAAATTTAAATTTAAGTTAGATGGCAAAATTGG